ATGCACATGGACTGAGGATATAGTCCATGGTAAAGCACTTGCCTAACTAGCATACAGGGGACCCTGGGATACCCAGCAACCCCCAACACCCCTCCATGGACACTACAGATACATATGCGTAAATGGCACACACACACACACACACACACACACACACACACACACACAAAGGAAAACGGGAAAGGAGTCTAAGAAAAATAAAACAATTCTTAGGACATAAGATTCAGGGGAAATCCTACTTAAACAGAGAGATTATCATTAACTGGGAAGATGCTACCAATCCATACTGAAAAACAAGAGAAAATGACTTCATCGTGTCACAATAATGGAGTTGGCAAGAGCTATGCCCTCATTACTGTTCATTTCACATTTCACTCTGTAACCATAAACTGTAACAAGCATGTTCATAAAAAAAAAAATATATATATATATATATATATATATATATAAGCAACATGAGATGATGCAGCAGATTCTCTCATGTAAGTGGACCAGGGCAACAGGATGAAAACAAAGATCTTTTTCTTTTAAGAGGATAATAAGGCTCAAATAGGTTCCTTCTGTCATGCAAGAAGCACTTTTAAATTTTTTTTTTTCAAAACTGAGAGAATAAGAGAGCAGTTTTCCTTCAGGGAGACAGGGGAAAAGATCAATATATTCAATCAAAAGGAAAGTTAGGAGAGACTATTTTAACAGTAAACTTAGAATATTTGCATATGCTGAGAAAGGAACAAGGACTTATCATTACACAATACCTCCAGCATGAGAGGAATGAGTGGCCTAGAACTTCAAAGGCAACAGCTTAAGGGAAAGGTTATGATTCAGAATACAGACCCTGAAATTTTGCTTATCAGAAATGAAAATGAACAGTGAAGAGGAAGTGGATCTTAATTTCAGTATCTACTCCTGATTCTAGGTAGTATTCAAGATAAACCTATATCATATCTAATTTTATTCATTATATTTTAAAATTACATACTATCAGTGCTCTTCTTTAGTATTTTTTAATTATCCTGATTATTTCTATGTAGGCAATTGCTTAATTAAGGAAACTATTGAGGCAAAACAAAAAGGACCATAGTCACTCTGTGCAGAAAAAGAAAAGAAAAATCAATTCTAAACCTGGGTAAATATATTCTAAGATCTATCATCTTTTCAAAATCTATGATCTTCCCAGCCTCACACTTTATTGTATTGTGGAAAACAACCTTTCTTCCTGACCTGTAAAGAAACTTTGATTTGTTTTCTTCACTTATGTTTCTATGTTGGAAGATCCAGACAGATTCATCTCATGTCTAATTCTATCCAAGAAACAGGAAAACAAGTGCTTTTAATCCATTTATTACAGGAGATAAGGATAGTAGGGTTGTGTTGGTTAGTTTTCTCTCATTGCTAGGACAAAATACCCGATGCCCAAAATTAAGGAAGAAAAGCTTTATTTAGTTCACAGTTTGTGCAGTTTTCAGCCCATAATCACTGGCTCTAAGGCAGTGTGGCACGGCACGGGGCAAATGTTCATGGGTGCAGAAAACAGAAAAGCAACAAGAACAAAAAGGGAGGAGCTCACAGAGAAGACACTTTCTGTCCCTGCTACTGTATGCAGACCACACACACCTTAGGGCAGGTGTAGCACTCATGCCCATAATCCCAGCAATGAACCATGAGTGTTGGAACCATTAAAACTGAATACACATGCTGTGGCATGGCCCAACCATGGCTGAATTGGAAATGAGGAGACACCTCAGGGAGCAAGACAGGCCACAGCTGAGGCCACCTGGAGACTTTCTGGATAATTTTCCTTAATTAGCATCCTCTGAAAGTTGAAGATTCTAGGAACTTAGAGAACTAAGGGGGTCCCTGAACCCCTCCAAAGATCCTGCCCAGGATTCCTGCATTTTACACTTCTTGCTTATTTTGATTAAATAAGGGCCGCCCAGGGTCAGTTGGTCAGCCTGCTAGCAGAGTTGCAAACTGGATTTCAGCTCTCCCGGAGCCCTAAAGATCATGCCAACTGTCTCATTCCTTTGGGCCTTCGCTGTATACCTGTTTGGAGGATTGGGGATGTAGGCACAGATCCCAACACATGAGTTAATCACAAATTCTAGAAACCTGTCCCCTAGCCGCATGAGGCTTTGTGGGGGAACATCCAGACTCAGACTGTAATAGAGTTATGCACCCCAGGAACTGTACAAAACACGCCTAGAATAGAGATATAAACTGGCTTTCTGTTTCTTATGTTTTACAAGTACTGTATAGTATACCTATGCATGTTTTTAATTTGTAAGTAAATTTTAGTAAGGTGTAGTCAAATTTGCTTCAGACAGTAATAATAAAACAAAACAAAGATCAATATGTCTAGGGAATAAATCATTTTCTCTCATCAGATTTAAAACACTACTTTATGGAAAAATCATATGCAGTATGCAGAGAACTGTGACTATCACACGAACTAGATTCATTCAATTAAATACCTATAAAACTGTTTTCACAAAAATGAACTTTAAGACTAAAAGAGAGTAGAACAAATGTATATTATGCTTATATCTTTGAATATAGCAAGTTAAACCATATTAAAACATGACATTAGAATTCTTATCAAACTTAGTAAACTCAGAAATGTACAGGGGAGTTTTCAGTGGAAAACCTTAATTATTTAGCTTACTTTTATTTTTTATGACCTAAGCTGTCATAACTGATGTCCTATGGACCTTTCAGAAGAATTGCAGCCAAAAGACACTGAGCTTGGAGTGGCAGTTTCCCATCAACTTCTGAAGGAAAAAAAAAAAAGCAAAGTACTGTGAATTAGATAAAAATAAGGTGATTTTAAAAATCCAACAGTATTTGATAGTTTTTTCTGTGATGACTCTTAATCACCCACCAACATGAAGTGACTATGGACACAAGAAAGAACTGACTCCTACCTGCCTTGAAAGTCCTCCATCTCAAAAAACTGAATGTGTTTTCAAAGGCTACAAGTATAAGTAAATCAGCTGTCGTGGAAGTGGCTCTGACCTGCAGCATTCAACAACAGGTGACTTCTAGAATTTTAGCCCCTAATTCAAAAGGGCAATTTTTCTAAGCTCACTGGCAACTGGCTAAAATCCACACTGAAAAATGATGAGGTGTATCATTATGATCTCATCTCAACAAAACAGCATTTGAAACCATTTTAAAGAAACAAACAAAAAATCAATAGCATATTACAAAACCAGCAAAAGAAAAAATATTCTCATGGAACTTGTTTTTGATCCTTACAAATCTTACATACTCGCACAACTCATTGTGAGGATACCCACAAGTCTCAAGGGAAATCAAGATGAAGATAGCAAGAATAAATTTATGGGTGAAATTTGAATTTTGTCTTAAGTGCTACCAAAATATTATCAAGAAAGCCACCAGATACTTGAAGGAGCCTGCCTCCAAGAGACACAGGTTTTTTTTTCCCCTATCTATGTATAGAGAAACAGAAAAAACTTGTTAATCAGGTTTGAAATGCTATTATGTAGACCTCTTCAAAGGGTTATCTACAGTCTTTGCACTGCTACCTCACTCCCTGAAGAGCAAAAACCATAAACCTCAATTATGCAAAGATAAAAATCACACCTTAAACTTGTTCTACAAGGTGTCCAAGCAATCACTTATGTTGCATTATTCCTCGGAATATGCAGCTAGCACCATTGTACATTGCAGGAGCTTCAATTAAAACACACTGTTATTCTGCAAAACGTCCCCGCCCCTGTGTTCATTCTAGTAGAAAAACTAGAAAAAGTTCCATAAGCCTTGCTCGCAAGCTCCTCCTTACAAACAAACCTCCCTAGACCTCAATATCCAGCCCACTGTCTTTCATACACCCGAGGAGACCGGTCACATTGCCTGACCCTGCACAAACTCCATAATACTTCTGGCTGCAAATAACGGAAACCGAGACACACACACACACACACACACACACACACACACACACACACACTCCCCGCCCCCGCCGCCAACCATCTACCACTTCTATCTTCCAGTTTCGCGAAGCCGCCTCTTCTGCTGAGCAACGCAGTGCGTTTATACATCAGACTCATGGACTGGTTCGGAGTGACACAGGAGCGAGCCCACATTCTTGCACCCTCACCTCCGCACCTCTCTTATCAGTACAATATATACACCAGGCACAAAGAGGGGAAATAAAAGGATCGAGTGTTCCGTCTCAGAAGGAGAACAGGCATGTTTGTGTGTGCGGGGCGCGGGCGCACCTCCCTGGGCTGGCTGAGAGAAGGCGCTTGACTCTGCCTCAAAAGAAACTGACAATTCCCCCCAAAGTTGTTGGAAATGAATGCCATCCCTACAGGCTTCGTCAGCCCAAACTGGAGATCAGTGTCTTTCACCCGAGCCCAGGTACCAGCCGCCTTCTCCCGGAGCGCAGCACCAACCCGCACATAGCGGCCCTCCCCAAATCAGCGTATTTCAAAAGGGCTTTCTCAGCGGCGCTCTGAGGTTCCGGATCCCTTAGATCCGAGTCCCTTCAGTCCCAGCCCAAGTTCACCTCCCTCCCGCGTGGCTGCAGCCCGACTATCGGAACCCTGGGGCTCACATTAAAAGGAATCTCCGAGGAAGAGCCGCTCGCCAGCACCCGGGGCGCACGGAGAGGGCAAAGCCTGCACCAGTTGGAGGAGCTGATTTTAAGGGCCCCTGAAGCATCCTGGCTCAGAACTCCTCGTTTCTGGAGCTGCCTTGCGGCGCAACAAACTTATTTTCAGACTGTGAAGAATAAAGGTCACCGTGCAGTGACGCTGGTTTGCGGGGGCCCTGACTCTTCCAAGGTTCAGGGCGCTTGGGGTCTGCTGGCTCGATCCGGCTCAGGGGGTTCAGCCCACAGCTCCGTCCAGCCGTGCAGGAGTGAGAACCCTGGGTGGCCCTGTCCCCCGCATCCGGCAACCTGCAAAGCCCGTTCCTTTCCTCCAAATCCGGCAGCCGGACTCTGGAGCCAGACCCAGCTGCTGCCCGTCACTCACCTCAGCACCTGAGCGCTGAGCTGAGCAGAGCCTCGCGCGCAGCGCAGACACAGTCCGGGGTCCCGCGTAGTGGCCAAAGATCCCTACTTGCGACCAATCCGGGGGTTGAACTCAGAGCTTGGTCTGGTACCGAGCTCCCCTCCTTCCTCGCGCTCCCGGCAGCTCAAAAAACCCGGCGCATCGCAGCTGAGGACGCCGGCTCGGCAGCGTAGGGAGGGGGCGAGGCGCAGAAGGCGGGAGCCCGCCCGCGCGGGAGCTGGGCATGCTCAGTGCGCGGCCGGAGGAGGCGCGCGGGGCGCTGCACCTGCGGAGCCCTCCCAGGCGTGGGCAGCCCCTGGCCCCCAAGGGCGAAATTGGTAAAGGGTGCTTTCGTGATCCTCCCAGCCGGCAGCGGACACGATTGGCCTCCGTCCGCGAAGGGCATAGAGGGTGTGTTGGTCAGCCAGGCACCGAGGGGCTGTGGGCTTCCTTTGCAACCTAAGTGTTGTGGCACCAGGAGGCGCGACTTGCCTGGGTACTCAAGTCTATAGCTCCCAGACGCAGAATTAGGCGCATCTTTAAGGTGTCCTAGCCAGAAAAACAAGTACTTCTCCTAGGCTGAGAATTGTTGAACCAGAGACTTGGGTCTGTGGGTGGCACTGAACTCAAGGAGCCGGAAGAGGGGGTTGCACCTGCCTATAGGCAGAGAGAGGACATCGGCCGGCCAGACAGGCAGCCTTAGGGAGCTCGAATCTCACCCATGCAACGTGCTTTGAAAGCTGGAATGTATGTGGGCAAAAGGAAATGGTTGTGATAAAATAGGTAGAAGAATCAGAATCGATTTGTGGTGTGGGTGGGCATACTAAAAGCCTTGTTATTCAAAAGCACGTGCGTTGGTTAATGACATTACCATTGCCATTCTACAGCAGGAATGTACTGTTTCCTTGTAAACATCTCTTCTTTCACCTCAACTCCAAACCTCAGAAATGCTCCAGCCCTCGCAATCCCTGGGCATAGTGAGCCCGACAGGCAGAGGAAAGCAAGCCCTGTGGAACACATTTGAAATGCATTTCTAGCAACCCCAAGAGAGCCTGAACTGCTCTCGCTGGGAAAAAAGCCCCAAGGGGGTTTTGCTGAACCCAGGTCTTCCTGCACATCCCTCAGCAGTTCAGAGCTACATAAACAACTTTGGGCCATTTACACAATCATGTAAACCTACCCTGACATCTCCATTATGTGGAAAAGATGTTAACTGGAAAACTATTTTTAAACTACTGTAGTAAGCAAACACATTCAACTTGTACAAATATATGCAGCAGCCTCCTTAGCTCACTGTGTTGGTGTGATGATTTATTCTGTGATTTTTAAACGCAATTTTTGAAAATGAGTAGATCCCGAGTGGTGAGGACTATGACTGTGATCAAAATTTTCACAATTTGAAATTCCATGTTTTTTATGATCGCTAAGATTAATACTGAAGAGAAATGTTTCTTTAAATGCCCAAATTTTCCAATTACTTAAACTTAGGGAGATTTTTAAAGCTCCTCCTCCTTTAACCAGGGTATTTAGCTAATAGACACACTTTTACTTTTGAAGAAGCAGAAGTTTGGTGACCTGAGAGTTTTCCATTGTAAATAATTAATTTGGATGAATGCTTTCCACTTACTTTGAAAGGTTTTGCACTCTTGGCTGACACATGACTTTTACTACTTGAACTATTATCGGTTTTGAATTATTTTTGTGCAATTAGTCAATTAAACATATATAAATATATATAAATATATGTCTCAGTACAAATATGTATTTAAAATGCCTCAGTAGAAATTCTGTCTAGAAAATACTCCTTTGCACACATGCATAGTCAGTACATTCCGGGAAAACGTGTTATGTTCGAGTCCACACAAAGTTCCAAAAAACAAAGAATAGACTCACCCACTCTTCCAGTGGGACCACAAAATTGAAGAAATCTTCAAAATTTTCGGCAGGTTTTGAGCAAATTCCTTTAACTATGTCTCTAAATTCCAACTGTAAATCTTTTGCTTTCATTCTTCTATTACTTCCTATCTAGATTTACTATATGCTAAATATGATACTCTAGGAGGTACAGGGAAACAATGCAACCTAAACTTAGAATCAGCTCCATTGTTGGCCATCCATTTAAGGAAACAGACATCACATATGTTAAAAAAAAACAGATTTGGATTGTGTCCTGTGCATATCAGTTAAACCTTAAGTAGCAAAGCAATTTTCCTTTCACTAGCATGTACCCACTGATAAATGCCAAGACTCATCAGTACTCCCCAATATTTCCCACAGAATAGGGGTCTAGTTTAAAATGTAACCAATGATCCAGTCTTTTTTACATCCTGCAAGAAGAAGCAATGCTCAGCTGCCATATCTGCCAAAAATCCAAGCCTTTTACTGAAGTTCTCACGATTGGGGAATGTTCCTAAGAGATTTAGCCCCTGCCAGGAGATGGAAATGCTTTATTTTCAAGACAACATTCTCACAAATGTGTCCCTGCATATCTGGACCCTGCTGGGTGTCAGTTCCTTACTCAGGGGACCTGTGATTGGGATTCTCTGAGGGTGAAATATTCCAAACAAATAAATCAATTAACACTGCCAACAGCAAGTTCAATACCACTGCATTGAGACCCAGCTCTGTTTCAGTTCATGAATGAATTACTAGCGTTCATGTGATTTGCAAAAAATCATCATTATAAAGCAGAAGAAAATTTCTCCTGCCCTTTTGCCTGAATAGCACCTCAACAGAGAGTTGCAATAGCCCCCCACTTCACCCACCAAAAATAACTTTTTACATACATATATGATGTTTTGCCTTCAGGTCTTTAAATATGAGAGTATCTACTTGGACACAAAGTCACCTTTTGCACTCATTAAACCAGTCTGAATGAGGTCTAATAACTCTTATGGGAAATCAACGCTGAAAATGCTTTTGACTTTTTGGAGACATGGAGAGAATACATTAGCAGGTTTCACTTAGCAGACAACAGTTCTGAAAACTCCAGAAAGGCGGTATCTCTGTCCCTGCCCTACCCTTGTAATTCTTTCTCCAAGCATCCTCAGGATTTGATGGGAGTGGATTTAATATAAGAAGAGAAAAGCAAAGAAAAACATCCCAGAAAGGAAATATTTTATTTTAGACCACATCTGATTTAATTGTCTTCTTATATCTGGCATCCAGTGTGGTGAAAATAATTTGTATCAATTCCACCTTCATCGATCTAAATGACTTAAATAAGGCAATCCAATGGCAACACTGCCTCATATAAAAATAATTAGGGTTTGTAATCGGTTTTTAAAAAAAATATTATGTGCCTCACTAGATCTTCAGGTAGAAAGCACAACTTGTATCCCATTCCTGTTTTTAAAACATAACTTCAAATTCACTTCCACAAAGTAAATAAAGCAGAATTTTTTAAATAAAGAATTATGTCTAAAACAGCTTTCTGTTCAATTTGAAAGCAGAATAATTTATAACAAAACTCAGGTAAAGATTTTTCTGACTGGCCTTCTAAAGCTCCCTCCTATGCAATTGTTTTAGAAGACTGATTGTCACTTGAGCTTCAAACTAAGGACATAGGAATAATAATGGCCTCATAGTAGGATAATGGTAATTAGCACACAAAAGCACAGTTAATTGCCATGAAGGTTGTGACATAGGCTGACAGATAGAAAAAGTAAGCTAGAAACCTCGCATGCCAGCCAAGATTTCTTTATAAAAATGGCTATGAGAACCTCACTGAATTTAAGCATAATAAGGTGAAATTAAGAATCAGTCACCTCTTTTCTTCTCTATAGTTTTGTCAAATTTTATTATATTCTTTGAATAAGAATAGCATTCTTTATTTAAAAAGAAATTCTAGAAATGTTTACTTTGGAAAAGTATTTACAGTTTGATATTCCTTGTTCTAGGTACTTATGTTTTATAAATTAACTGAAAGTATTGATTTATTCCTAGAGAAAATAAAGACTGAGGTTCCTGATCATCTATAGTGACAAGATTTCTGTCAACCAATCAACACATAAATTGCCTTTATGTTTACTGTAGATAGACATTATATATTAATATTATTCATGAGTATTAAACTCACGACCAGTTGTATTATAATCCTTGTCAGACAATATTTGTTTAACTTATATATTTTCTCTTTAAGGTACATCACAGCCTTTTTGTGCCTAAGAACACTAGACAGCACCCCAGCACTATCTTACAGTCATTTAAAATACCTTGGCAAATTGCCAAGACAGGATCACAGCCATGCTGCCAAAAGGACATTCCTTGGTAATATGAGAGCTACCATAAGAAGGCAGAGCCTCACCTGGTTTCACCTTAACTGGGAACGTGTGCAGTAGAAGAATAAAACCTTTAACCATTCTCTGTGAGTCTTCAAGTATCTCTCTATGTCTACATGAGTGCTTTGAGTATTGCCATTGGGGTTACAACTAAATTTTAGCAAAGGAACAAATTTGAAAACAAAACATCTGCAAATAATGAGAACTGATTATACTAAACAATGCCCTTTCATGGCTTGCCACATCTATCCAGTATGTGACTTAATTTACAGATACTTATTTTATAAACAATAATTTTAGTATATGTTATTGTGAGAACAGTGTGTATATTTTGTACCATATGTCTTCTGCTGTTTCTGCAATGAATTATAAATCATGATCACATAGGATTTTTCTGTTTATTACACACCATACTACCTTTATGTAGATTTGTGGATTGAGTTTTGGTGATCCTGTCTTTGTTATTCAACAGATTAAATCATCCACTTGCTCACAAAGTGGATACTTCTAATAGCTAATGTAAAGCTAAGGAAAAAGAAAATATGAATTAGTGAAGTCAAATGTATTTGTTCTTAGGAATTGAGAAAACTGAACTTCTCTCTGGCCCCCAAAACATATATTAGTTGGAAAAGTGAAGAAAAGTTTTGCTCAATTAATGGCTCTCTGAAAGTAAATATTTTCAGGTATATTCAGGATGTCATTAAAAATTCAGAGAATTGTAAGGAAAGCCTTCAGTGAACTACATCTTCTGGGATTTATGCCATATTTGTTTCCTGTCCTTTAAATGATGGCTAGATTTTTGATTCATTAGTATAGACTATTTTAATGATGAATGTCACTACCAAGATCAGGCAACTCAAAAACAGCTGCTTCCAATATGCCTTGCGCTTGGCTATGAAGAACCAACATTGTGAAAATGGCCATACTCCAAAAC